TACCAAATTGTTTACTATTTTTAGTTGTTTAGATTCGATTCTATTTTTCGTTTCGATTTTTGTCACAAACAAAAGAACAGATAATTATTGATTATTTTTTCTTATTTAGCATGCTCAGAGTATCATCGTTATTTAATTGTACATGCAAGTAGATACTTGTTGGGTTTTTCTAGCGGACAACAACAGTCACATGCTAGCTAATTATTAATCTCCATTGCCCATTTTATTTGCAAAGAAGAATGGTTTGGGCATTCAATAATCAATAAAAAAAATGATAAAAAAATGACAAATGCAAAACCAATGTTTTAGTTCCTCAACAATTAACTTAAACAAAATATTGTTCACGTTTGTTTTCAATGTCAAGGGTTAAGCATCCTTTAGTTACAAGAGCTTTCTCTGTTTTTAGTTTAGATTGTGTCAATGTGCATTTATACACATTGATAATGTTTATTTATTTTAATCACAAAAAATACTCTTTTTGCTTCAGTAAACAAGATTATTTTAGATATTAAACATATGTTGTACATGAACATTCAAATGTCTGGCTCTAAAATATGGTTAACGTTTTACATACTCTTTTTGTAATCTGTGACTATCAAATAAAAGTAATGTTCTGTTTTAAATCAAGTTCTGATCCATTGCGGAAATAGTGTATGTTGGGTGAAAAAGGTTACTCGGCTATCGCATAGTCACTCATTAATCCTGCAGAATTCCAATATTCCAGATATGCTCCGTGCTGATCTATTCACTGAGTTGTTATTTAACAAATCGTCTTGGACGTAGAAAATACTCAGTAACCTATCCTATCATTATGATTTATTAATCTGAAACTGTAACAATACATTTGTCATATTTGTAATTAATTAATTAATTAATCTGAAACTGTAACAATACATTTGTCATATTTGTAATTAATTAATTAATCTGAAACTGTAACAATACATTTGTTATATTTGTAATTAATTAATTAATCTGAAACTGTAACAATACATTTGTTATATTTGTGATGCAATATCTATACTTACCTGTACAAAAAATGTATCTTTAAAAGTTGCATGCATACACACAATTTAACTCCAGCGAGCGTAATTATCGACAGTACAAACTTAATTTATATACAAACGATGTATTTCTATTGTTTGATGTGGATACAATTCAGTTGTTGTTTTCAAATAAATATGTATATTATCTTTAATCATATCATATCGTTATATCTATTAAATAATTAAGGCAAATGGATTGAGTAATTACAACAAGGTGAAATTAAAAGCAAAAACTTCTAGATTTAATATCTTGGGAAATTATACTAAGTGCGGTAAACTTCATATTACCACACCTTGGTAATTTCAATAAATGTATAAAGATTCTAAATTATAGTGACGTTGGAAATGCATTAAACACAGGCACTAACTTTGGAATCCATTATCTATTTTAAACTTTTTATATGCGTTGCAAATACAAATGATACTCTGGAATGTAAGACATCGTCCAAAATAATGAAACATATACAAACCGCTATATATGCTCAAAGGCATATTATGCCTAAAAAAACAATATATTTCCTTCTTTAAAAAGCATTCAAAATTTGTATAATGTTTAGAGCCATTTAGATGCATATTAACTGAAGAAAGTAGCGAATGAGAAATTAGTTATCCTAAAAGTAGCAACATGTAAACAAAATAGTATTTTGACTTTGCCACCCATGCAAAATACTAAATAACTACATGCCTTTTATAGCTATACTAGTTCCTGGAAAGGTATATAATCAAAAGATGATTCAGCTAATTGGTCAATGAGTAACATTTTGAACACTAAATATTAGAAAATTTTAAGAAGTAAAAACAGTATTTTTGGGGTGTATTGGGCCTTTAAGGTGAATGAATTAATGAATGAATATATTTATTGATTATATGGATAATCTTCTTACTCTGTGTTATATTTATGTATGCAAATGACATTGTTACAGCATTTAAAGATGATTGATCTTAAGTTCAAGGGCTTGATGTTCTATGCGATATGGTATATATAAGTGATGAAAACTCATACTTCTTTCGTTATTGATTTACAATATTAAGTCAAAATCAATAAGTTTATTTTCAACATCACATTTAATATAAAACGATTTCAACATGACCTATGCACTAAGCAATAGCATATAAACAAATAGCAAAAGCTACAAAGATGTTTAAGTATGGCTAACAAACGTTATTAAACGTCTACATAATTAATTCACTGGATTATTTTTTTTTTGTGTATTCGGAAGGAAAGTGGGTAAAACTTAAAGTATCTTATGACCATAAAAAGAAAAAAAGAAAACTCAGTTCACATTGTAAGTTCTGTTTAAAATTTAATGAAAGCTAAACAGGCAAGAAGTAAGGTAAATGGAAAAGAATACACTATCTATACATATGGAAACCAAAACACTTAATTTAGGCATTTGTGCAGGATGAATTGGTATCTGTTAATGAATCGGAAATTCCATCATAAAAATAACATAGCTGCACATATTTTTAAATAAGACATTGATAAGCTATTCATTTGATGGTTGTAAAATTGCATTATTGTTCAGAATGATCGAAATATAAAATGGTAAGGACTTCAAACATTTTGGTTTCGTGATTTGTACCAAGGGTCGGGGTGGGGAGGCGAAGATGTCTAGTAAAGGCTTCTACTTTTCATAGCTTTAGGTAGAACTTAAGTGAAAAGTAGATTGGAAATTCTCAAAATGATGCATGTGTTTTAATTTTTACTTTCGGTCTACGGGCAGTAAGCTGGAGTAAGCTGGAGGACAGATTGCTGATACACTGAACGCAGTGTGCTTCATTGTGTATAAAATTTTATCGGATACAAATTAAAGATATCTATCAGGTACGATACAACAACATGTTAAACAGAAGAATTACATCTCATGAGAAGCAGGTACGTAGACAAAATGGATTCAAAGTCAATCGGATTAATATAAATTTATTTTCATTTACTTCCTCATATTATCAAATATCATTTCGAATATGTCTGTACGTGTGGTGACCAACTTTTATCATGTTCTTTTTTCAGTTCAGAAAAATCTAAAATCAGTGTAAAGATGTTATAAGAATAAGCAGCAAACAGATCAACGTAAAACATTGAGCTATCATCACATAGTTACCTGTTTTATTTTTTATGCTTTATTATTATTATTATTCATTATTATTATTTAGTATTCTTTTAGTGATAAAATTTCAGAAGTTTTCAGAAAAAATAAATAATAAATAAAAATTCTCCATATATGTATCGAAACGTCTGCTAGTTAACTTACAAATAGTATGAAGGATTTTTTTAATCACCGAATACTAAATTCATGTTTGAGTTGTGAATGCGAATTTCATTTGTAGTTCATAGATATATATGACTTTGAAAATCTAAAAATGATGCAGTTAGATGTATAAGTTGTATATATAATAAAGAAAAGCTCAGAATCCTTGAAACACAAATAGCAAATTGTGATTAAATGGTAAATAATTCTTGAATCAACTACAGAAGTCGATTCCCACAGAAAAATATTGTTTTCCTCTAGCAAGAACATGATATATGTTTGTGATGTAATATGGCCAATGTATTTCTTGAAATATACTAAATTTCACAAGAATAATTATATTCCGTATAAATACATCATTGCTTTAAATTGATAAGCTACTTTGGTAACATATTTTTCTTTTTATATAACCCCCCCCCCCTAAAAAAACAACAAACAAACTTATTGTAATAATTTCAAAAAAGTAAATTATAAACTTAGAGGGGGGAATTTTAATGTAAATACCTTATTAGCATATTCAAAAGAAGTGTCTTAAAAGGGTTACATTTTAATATATCTGCTTACATAATTCGATTCATTCAAAACAAATTTCAAGCAATAATTATACTGTAATAAATACATATATAATGATTGAAGAAACAGTTAATCCTAGATTTCTGAGAACGTATTAAATACACCAGTGTAGTTATGTAACAGCAAGCAAAAATTAAACGTAAAAACGAGCGTGTATTTTGTAAAAGTTCTATTTTAAATCATAATTGTTGAATAATTTTGCAACACTGAAAACTATTAAATCAAAGGCTATGTAAATTGTTTAAAGGTATTTCCTGACTGATTATGTTAAACTATGTTTTCTTTTTTGATTTATTGGTAAATAGACTTTATGTGTTTATAAACATAATAGTTCGTTTTACAAATTAATATATATGTAAGAGCATTTTCAAATGGATCCTATGTAATCTTTTTACTTAAACATTAAATCGAAACCATCAAATTTAGTGATCTTAGTAAATATTATTCATTATATCCTGTATGTTTGTGTAACTTTTCACCTCAGTTCTATAAACCGTATAAAACGACAAAATGTGTTCTTTATGGGAAAATATATACAAATATTTATATAACATTCTTTGTGATTTTTATTCTTACTTGTAAAAAACAACAAAACTCCATATGTATCTGACGTATGATAGAGTTAGAGGCACAAACATGATGGGTGTACTGCGGACCTAAGTATCGATACTCCCAATCCTTTGTCAGTGAGTTAGGTATTGAAAAATTCTCTATTTCATCCTCTCTCTCACACAACGTGAAAACAACTGTCGTATTATCATATGAGAAACAATTGCCAATAGGCTCAGTGTCGAAACTCTAACAGATGATGCTTTCACAGCTCTATGATGACTTGAAGCGATCTGATTATTTATGATAATGGATTTTTCAACAGTTTATTAACTTAAAGTAAACGTTATTTTATAGTCGATATGATAAGTATAATATAAAATCTTAAAGGAATTATTTTATTGATAACGGCTGACGGGGATATTTATAATTCTTTGAAAAGAAAGGAAAATGTAGAAGCGATTTTATTTCTCGGAAACTGACTTAAATTTGGCTTACAGACATTTTTGAATACCTTACAAATTCAAATCAATTACTTAGATTTATTTTGTTTGATTTGCCTACTAATTTTATAAACTGTACATATGAAATGTTTAGGAAAACTGTAAATGTTTTATGACAATATGTTGTAAAATGAAGTTTTAAAATGATTGGTATATATTTTTATATTTTGAAACAGAAAAGTACTTGCTTGTAAAATAGTGTGAATAAAAGATCTATTAATGAAACGAATGTGACCAAAATGGAGAACTATACGTTGACTGTGTGTGACGAAAAATTAACAAACAATTCGTATAATACAAGTTCTTCAGATATATATATTGCAGATTGTCTTGCTCTGAAATGTGTTCCGGTCGTGGAATGCACGAAATACATAGAACAACACGTGACACCAGGTGTAATAGAATGGATTATTATTTCAATATATAGTGTAATATTTTTGGTAGGATTAATTGGAAATGGACTGGTTTGCTTTGTGGTAATTAGAGTATCTCATATGAGAACAATAGTGAATATATTCATCGTCAATCTAGCTGTTGCCGATTTCTTGGTGCTTCTTGTTTGCATGCCGCCGTCGGTACTGGCAGATACGACGGAATCATGGTACTTGGGTGACTTGATGTGTAAAATAGTGCCTTTTCTACAGGTATAAATTTTATTATTAGTTGTTTCTTTTTCTTTCATTTTTTTTTGTATAAATCAAAAACGTTAAAATATAATTGATTTAAATGACTAGATTTGGCATAATTATACAAAATGATTTCCTAGATTAAATCGCTTATATATTTTGTTTTTATTGATGAAGTTCTATTTAAATGCGATGCAACTTATTCTTCAAATTTACTAAGAATTCAAAGAAGAGAATGAAAAAGACATGTTTCGGTGGTGTCTTATTTGTACGAAGAAGTCGGTGACACATTAACAGTTTGCATCGAAATAGCTAGCTTATTTTATTTTAGATATCTTAGCACGTTAAAATATAAAACGGCCATATAAATTGTACGTTCAAATGACTTCACAATACAAGAAAAAAAGCTTTTTAGGTTAAATATTAAACGTAAATTGACACGCCAAAGTCAGGCAGGTGTAGTGGTTAGAATACCGGATCGGCAACCCAGATACTTGTGTTTTGAACGTCGACTGCGCCTGGTTTATTGTTCGTGTGACAATTCCATTTATAAATCCTAGCTCATGAAGTCTTCCAATTATATATAATTTAAAATCACAATTGACGACAAATTGAAGAAGTTATTGATTTTGTATATATGACAAACTCATAACTTGATTAAATTAGCATATATGATTTGTATAATTTCTTTCATCTCAATGAATGTGGAAATTAAAATTTCATCTTATAAAGTTATCTTTTATCTAATATATGTTAAATTGAAACAAATTCTTCAGACAAAGATTATGCTCTCAACTTTTACAAGAAAATTTTAAGAAATGGAGTTCGTTTCTGTCAGCGGTATATTCAAATATGTTATTGATTTTAAATATGACTATTCAATAACTTTATTCCATTTTTATCAAAATATTTAATCTCTTTTATTTCAAATGAAAGAATTTTTATTCATTCATAAAACGTTTACAGGATCTGTGTGAATATAACTTTCGTTTTAAATATCTATATATCATTGATTGCTTTTAATAGGTTTAATTGAACAAATAGCGATATTAAAAAATTTAACATTTTATTCACTATCAAATTTTAAAAAACACCTTTTGTCTTTGAAAAACATTCCAACAGGCATGTATACTTTTTCTGCCTCTATGATACTAAAGTAAATAATCAGTTACCTACGACCTTAAACGATTACCTCTATGTGAGGATAACTTCACAGCTGTCTCCTATTGAAAGAATTTCACATAAAAGTGTTCTCGCTGTTATAAAACACAATAATGTCAGACTACCGTTATTGTACGAGGTTCATAAAATGAAGATTAACATAAATAAAATCCAATCATTCTGAATTAGCCGTACGTTTTTATGCGTTCTTTGCATAAAAATAACACTAACAAGTTGGCCAGTTAAATATATTTTACATGCTTAGAAATTGTCCTTTTTTTGTATATAAAAGACAACCATGTGTCTTATTAAAACATTAATTTTCTATTCATACAATATGGATGCTCAAAATAAAATACATCTATGTTACTACGTTATTAAAAGTTCATACATTTTCGAGTAATAAATGATATTGGGTATCAATAGCTCTTTCATTCATCAAATATTATATCCGTATCTTTATTGAATAAATTATTCGACATTAAATCTAATGTCGGAGGACAAATATTGAAAAGATAAACGGTAAAACTAAAATCAAACGTCCATGCATTTATTAAATATTCCTCTGATAATATCAGTTGTCCATGGTATTATCAAATACTCGACGCATAATCAGTTAATCGAACATAACTGATAAACAACTTATCTTAAATCAATTGTCAATGCACTTATTATATACTCGAATATTTGTTAAACAGTAAATCTTAAATTAACAGTTCGTTCATTTGTCAAATATTTGACTGATAAAAAGTAGCATCAATGCATTTATTATATATTCGACTGACAAAAAAAAACAAATCTAGAATCAAAGGTCCATGCATTTATTATATATTTAATTGATCAACATAAAATCTAAAATCAATGGTTCGTGAATTTATTAAAAATTTGACTGATAGACATTTTAAAAATCAATGGCCCATGCATTTATTAAATATCTGAAAAATTATAATAATAAAATCTAAAATGAATGTTCTATGCATAAGATAAATATTCCACTCAACTGATAAACAGTAAATTCAAAGTTAATGGTCCATGCATTTATTATATATTCAAGTGATAAACATTGAATGTAAAATCAATGGTTCGTGCATTTATTAATGTTTGGCTGATAAATAATCTATGTCCATGCATTTACTATACAATCGAATGATTTAAAAATAAATCTAAAATCAATTGTCCATGCATTTATTAATTATTCGACTGATAAACAGTACATCAAGAATAATGGTCAAAGCATTTGTTGAATTTTATATTCATCAATGGTCCATCCTGATTAGAAATTCGAGGCATGGCCTTGAGAACTCTGTGATCTATGCTACTGTTACGTAGTCGATAAAAATGTCGAAAACATCAGCTTCTAACTACACTAGAATTAAATTTATCACCGTTCTATTTTCGGAAATTAGATTTAATTTGTCCTTTCAAATGTGTTCTTGAATTGATTATTATGTTCATCAGTATCAAAAATTGGGCTGGATGTGTGTAAGTTTATATTGCGATAAGTTTGCATGGAACAGGTGCAATGTTCTAACGAACTTGGAAATATTAAGTTTATAGTTCGTTGAAAGTAACATCGTGCCATTTGGGAAATTATAGAAATAAATAAAATGATTTAATATTAACGTAACATGCGATTTACACTATAAACGAAAACGTTAGTGATGTACACAAGCAAAGTTTATCTATTCAAAATTTTACATTTTCCTTTTCAAGCTATCAAAGTAATTGAAAGTGGAATATCTAAAACGCATACTATACGTACAGTATTTCTATATGTTCGATTGAGAACTAAAGGTTATTTCATTAAACTGTTGGTATTCCTATTTGATTAATACCGGTAATTTCTTTTAGAAAGATTTATTTTAAAGCTTGGGGTGGCAATCATTGTGTTTACTTTTCGACAAATAAAACAGATAATAAGCATTAATAATGCAATTATTCTCGTCTAGATATTCTCGTAAAAAAGCTTTTTACTGGAATTTTAAAAATAGTTCGGCTTTCGCTGCAAATATTTCAGGAAATGTGCATATTTTAAATATTTTGGCAACTACGGAAATACTGTAACACCAATAGAATGCATGATTTATTGATGACAGAATATTGTCAATATATATTTAGCAAGCAATGCTCGTTAAAAAAAATTTTAAAGTTTCTTTTATTTTGTAATAAGTGTTTCAGTTTATACAATCTGCATGATATATGTATGCAAGGTGGAAACTGGCATTATTGTTTTCTCGAGTGTCAATGTTACATATTTTTCCCACGCAATGCAACGTACTTCACAATACGATACTAGGTAGTGTTCTATAACACTGGGACATTCCTTATTTCTTCTGGTTTATAACTAAATTCCCTAATTATAGCGGTCTTAAAAACGTCCATTTTTATTATAGTTTCATTAATGAAATATCCGCCTGACAGGAAATCTCTCTATTGTATTATACTAAGAGTGATACAAACGAGTACAACTAGCAACATTTATGATACAATTTTCATCCCTGTCAGTAAAATCGACTCTTGTGTATAAGATTTATCGTACTATTAAGAGCGTACATGATAGAATACTTAATCATATCAAGGAAGAAAAAAAAAAGTATTGCCTGGACAGATTCTAGTCGAGGTTACTATATCAATAAATGCAGTTTGACTGCCAATAGAGGCTTTCAACAAATATATCTTTTTAAATTTGAATAGAGATACGAAACATAAAATGAAGATGAAAAACCCAATGTTTGTTATCGCCTGGTTATTATTTTTCATGACATCAGCATTACTACAGTTTGCATGAATTGCAAAATAGAAGTTGTTTTATCATCAAGAATAGTGGAAACACTGCCATCTATACCCAAACTTGTAATGTAGCCTTGCTGAAGTTTATTGGAAAATATAAAAATATTTCTGATTGCTTTGTACGGTTACAAAAAAAGTGTCAAAAGGTTTTTATATACCTCAGGTTCCTGAACACGATAAGGTCATTTCTTGAGATTAATTCTCTTCATTGCATTGCGTATGTTCGTATTCACTAGGGGAAGTGAAAATCATGTTAAATAAGACACTACATGAACTTATTAGCGGAAATCTGACTCTACAAAAAGCAAACTGATTTAAGTAAATTCCAAGAGAAATGCACATTTCTTTGGTTAAAACAATGTTAAAAAAATACAAAGATAAAGATGAAATTGAACATGTATGTTTGCCTTAAGTTTATCAATAGAGCAAATTCCTATCAAAAGAAAGAATTATAAATAAAATGTAAATTGGACAGAGTGAGCGAGTAAGAATTTTACAGGAGATCAATTATTTGTTTTTGTGGCATTGTACTCTAGCACTTATTTACAACTAAAATACAAAAAAAATCAAATATATGAAAACCAAAAGATAGAGATCGTTTACCATAATGATTTTGAAATTATTTCAAAACAATTAAAGTTCTTTAATTTTCATTAATGTTTGTTTACAAAAATGTCGAAATAAAAAACAACAAAAAACAAAACAAAAACAAAAACAACAAAAAACTATAAGTTTATCTTTTATCGATTTCACTTAAAAACTACGTTTTTCTCTTCAAAGTTGAAAGTTGACAGTCGCTTTCAAATGCCACGTCAGTCTTATATTGTTTATTAATGCTGCGTACTGACCGGAATAAATATAAACTAAAATATCATGCAAGTTTTCCGCAAAGATGAAAATTAATACAAAATCTTTTGATAAGGCGGCAACTGTAGATCCATGTGTCATACGCGTCAATGATTTAAGATATATAACAATGAGAGCATTGACATTTCTATTACAAGAACGTTTATCTTTCTATGAAATCATGAGACTGTGTAGAGATTGTAACCTATATGTCAGCTGCATGACAACTGACACACGTATAATAGTATTTTGATCGTCAAAACCTTAACATTTTATTACTTTAGCTTACAAGCTCTGACAATTAACCTTAAGACTACAGCTAACGACAACATATTCTACTCATGTGCCAATGACCTTGCAGAGCAAGATTAACCGGAACATCCGTGCTGTCTGATTATGGTCTGCACTGCCATAACAAATTTTGACAAGCAATAAAATGGATGAATGTTTTCTCTAGATTTAAAGATGTCTAATATTTAAGCGCGGCTCGTATCTGGACATAACACGGAAGGGCTCAAAAGTTTATCAGTTTATTTTTTTTATTTGTATAATTGATATTTATTCAAATGAACAAAATGTTCGTGAATCAAAAGTGTAATGGATATGTCTTAACATCGAGAAAAACAGTTTTTATCTCAAGGATTAAAGGTTAATATTTTTATATGTATTTTTACATGTATATGGTTTAGCAATTATAAGAAAATAGATGCAATAAGGTGCTATGCACCATGTTAATAAATGTAGAATAGTGACTTGAGAAATTTTAAAGTAAGAAATATTCTGTTGATATTATCCTTCATAAATATATGTTTCTCGTGAACTTAACATTTTTTTTATAAAAAAAACAACCTTTAAATGTATATTGTTACACTCATTCACTTGTTGTTTTTTTTCTAATTATTTTATGATTAATTCTATTTCAGACAGTTTCTGTGTCAGTGTCCGTTCTGACCTTAGGCGCTATTGCTGTTGAAAGATACTTTGCTATTTGTCATCCACTACGCCGCCGGCTGAACTCACTAACAGTGACTCTTGTTATTGTTGCCATATGGATAACCGCAATTTGCGTATCACTCCCGGAGCTACTGTATCAAAGACTGAACCGTTGGTTTCCGGAATATGTAACGGATTATTTACAGTTCTGCCAGCAAAATTTGTCAAAAGAGAAACAAAAGTATTACCATATTTTCCTCATGATTGGTCTCTACGATGTGCCAATGTGTCTTATCTTCTTCGCATACTCAACTATAGCGTTAAGATTATGGAAGGACAATTTCGCAACAAAGTCATCCAATGGGCGCTTGAATGCTGGTATGTATATACAAACATGACAACAATTGTAAAAACAAACGACCAGATATAAAAATAGTAACTTCAGAGTACTTGAACTGTTTTAATTGTAATACTATGTACTTGAATACCATCTGTTGATTGCGAATGCACATCCAAATCATATCACATCTATAAATTGCTTTATTTCAAATATTTGTTTCACGTTTCCTTTAATCGGTATTACAATATCACCATTCCTTCCTTTATACAAAATCCTTATTAATAATTTACATTATATATTTGTAAACGAGCTGCACGAACATGCAATTATTGCAGTCATTTAAAATCTTATAATAAATTCAAAGATCATTTCAACGATGTTTACTTTTATAACATTATTGAAACATTGTTGATGGAAATATGTATTGACTAGTGTTTAATAGTTGGCATTTACAAAATTTAATTAAGCCAGGAGCGACACAGCCGTTTTACAAAGTCAAAGTCGATTCATATGAAATTCTGCAATCCTATTGGACAAAAATAATTTCAGACACTAAGTAGGAAGGAACGCCTATTTCCGCTAAATTGCATCATCATATTCCCTTAATATAGGCCTAAAACCATATATAATACCTTATATTATGAATTATAGGCGCAATTATGATATAAATAATTTAACTGTATAAATGTAATTGTCACGAACTACGAAAATTAAATGCTTTAATTAAAAGATTCAAGTTTATTCACATTGTTAATAAAAGTTATGTACTACAAAAACTTTAATAAAATAAAGATTCATGAAAATTCTTATATGCAATTAATCATTTCTTGGTGAACCTTTTTTGAAAGATAAACGTGGTGGCTCTTTTATGTTATGTCCGTGCATAAGTTACAAGGACCGTAATCTTAATATGACTTTTATGCCCCTACTGCAGGGGGTGGGGGTGGGATACATTTAAACATGTCCGTGCGTGTGTATGTGCTTTCTTGCTTGCGTGCGTGCGTTCTCATGTTATGTCACTTGTAGCTCAAATAGTATTTGACCTTATGTCAACAAACTTTACAGGAATGTTGATCATGATATAAAGTTGTGCATCTGGGGATTTCCTTGTAAATTTATTCAGCATTTGTTGAGTTATTGCCCTTGACTGAGTAAAAAATTGCATTTTTCAACTTGTGTTGTGCGTAGCCTAAAATGTATTTGACCTTGCGTCATGAAAAACTTTACAACAAAGTTAATCAGCATATGTAGTTGTGCACCTAGTGGTTTGCTTGTGAAATTATTCAGGATCTGTAAAGGTAATGCTTGACTTAGTAAAAGGTTTGTTATATTCAACTTGCGTCGTGCGTAACTCAAAAAATATTTGACCTACAGTCAGGAAGCATTACAGGACTGATGATCAACATAGCTAGTTCTTTTTCTTTCTTTCTTTTATGCTATCATACTTAAGACTAGAAAGTTGAGATCTGAAATTCTTAATATTGGGGAAAAAATCAAGATGTCAACATTGGAATAATTGAATGTATGCCTCAACCACCTAGGGGTTGGGGGAGGGGTTAATGTAGAATTTCCTTTTTCCTCCTTCAAACTGCCCTTCTGTACATCAGTAGACTGACAAAATAGTTGAGTTTGTGGGTGTCCTTGGCCTATGGACACATTTCTAATTTATTCATGATCTAAGTGAATACTTAAAACGTCTTCTGTCAAACAAACTTTAAACAATTGAGGTTTCAAAAAATTATTTCACCCAATGCAATTTACTCTTCTTTAGACGTTTTGATGGCAAATAAATATCAAAGGCAAAAGCAGAAACAAATCTTAAGTCCAGTATGATAAATCTTTGAATACATCTTTCACAGCTCCTTTATACATAAACAGTAAACTTTATTGACAAAGTGATATTGATAGAAAATCTATTTAAGAAATAAAATAACAACATCTCAATAAAAACTCATGACAAATGATAACAACACCATTTGAATTCGTAAGCAAGGAGGCGTTAAATGTGTACTTCAAATGAATAAAGCAGAATGAATTTGAGGCTGCTGTCTATTTTGAAATTTGTGCTATTTCTTTTTAAAATATAGGTGTATTAAATTATTGTGTATATATGACAAAATTTAATGCATATAAATGTATTCAGGTAGTCAGAAAAAATAACACAAATATGTCAACATGTTCTAAATGACTTAGGAAAATTGAAACAATTATATAATTTTCATATGATTACGAAATGAAACAATATATTACAAGTTTTAAAGATTAAATGTAGTTTTATTTACAATAATTGCGTAAATATGTACTTTACTTTAAAAACGTTGGTAAATATTTATCTCAACAACCTGATCAGTAAGCTAGTTCACTCCCGATGAGAAATAAACAAACAGTCATAGAAAGTGAAAAACATAAATGAATTTAAAAGAAATAACAACTCGCGATCACATCTGCCTTTGACATTTATATCAATGTCTGTTTGTACATTCAATTCCTATTTCAGACTATTTCAATGAATTTCTCGGTAAGTGTAAGGAATGATATCCCAAAGTTACTATATTTTTGTTTATACATTAGATATTAGATAAACACACACTTAGTACCACTGTTGTTATTCAATGTCATTTAACCACATTGTAGATTTATATTACGTATTCGTTTCTAGCATACCCTGACAAATTATGTTGCTAATTTCATTATTTATGATTTTAAAATAAAAAATTGTCATAAATCATTCATTCTCCGAATAAAATGCCCCATTCTGAAGCATGGTCATGGTTATATTTGTGTCAATATAACTCATATCCTTGTCTTATATGACATGTTTACTGCAATATTTTATTTACAAAGCCATTTCTGTTATATATCTGGAAACCTGTTTTGATATAATGCGATACAAAATATATTTATTCATTAGGGTTGTTACATTAGTGTGCTCATCCCATTTAATTGCGTATTATTTTCTGTATTGTTTGCTCAAACGTTTGTATTCTTGCATCGAGTTTGGAATGGAGTTTTGCTTTTGCTAAACATGTAGACAGACCAGAAAGAAGATTTCGTTGAATACATTACAAAATATACACGAATGAAACTATCAGTCATCACTATTTCATTGATCTAGTTTAAACTTTGATTGCATCGAAGTTTTAAAACTTAATTCGTCCGACAATTTTAATTTAATGGAAATATAAACGATCAAATAAACAAACATAAACAACAGAAGATGCCATTAAGTATATCCGCATTTAGTTGCATTAACAACGCGATAAAGAAAAGCCGTTTGTCGTTTAAAAATAAAGTGGATATAATAACAATTAAATTTAGTGAAATTTATCTGATAATTTGATTGTCGGAGGACTTTTTCATTGAATCCCGGTAATGATTTCTCTTGCTAATTGAAGTGTTATTTCCTTCCAGTTCGTGATAGGAAAACATATGTTTTAGATAAACAACCAAGCCTTTTGTCTGGTGCGACTTTGAAGATATCAATTAAATTACAACACTGGAATAAAAATAGATGTGCATCATTGTAATAAATGCTAGGCCTTTTCAAATTCAAAAGTTCTACCATTTGTTATAAACTTCTTTCAAGACTTAATACATCATATTCTTTGTTGATGTCCTTTTTCAATATTTAACCCATATTTAAGATTAACATGTAAAAGAAGCAACATACATAAACAAATTAACCAAAGTGTCCTAAATCCAAGAAATATTTAACGCTGGATTATTGACTCTCTCTATATTGACACCAATTACATAATGTTCCTCTTTGCAAATAATGTTTAAATGTAAAAGGTACATAGATGAGGAGTTCTGGTTCTCAAAACATGACATTTATTTTACAGGAAGGAGACCTCAATTTTCTGCATCCAGACCAGAGAGTCAGCTACCTGCTCGGAGGAAAGCTGCGAAAATGCTTATGACCATAGTTGTACTGTTTGGACTTTGTTACCTGCCTATTCATATATTCCAAATTTTAAGGTAATGATTTATACTATTTTATACTGTATGAAACTTCATATAAAGTTTTGAAATATTTTTAATGCTGCCATGGTTTCCTTATTCTTTAATGTTTAAGCACAGTTATCACTTTCAGAGTATAATGTTTGTTATGGCCCTTAATTTCTATTTTCATTCGGTATGCGTAAATCATAAAATATTATTTGTAACATGTTACACGCATTTATTGGTTCTAACGGGATAATGTCATTTCCAGTGTGCAATTTTATGACTAAATAGCCATGCATCTTACTTTTTGCATTTAAAATGTTGTGCTTGATACTCTTTGTGACAGATACTTAGAATGCGTTTAGGGCATAAATGATAGATATATGGAGATCTCACATGGGTCATAATATATTATTAAAATTTCTAAAAAGCAAATTCAAGAAATTGAACTTGTGACCTTTATAACATTCTCTTAGACACGTTTTATGTATCATTTTGTTTTGTTTCACACTTTTAAAATGTAACAAATAAACTTCCGCGTTTGCACACGCGATGTTGTTATACAAATCATTATTCAATCTTATCAATTTACCCTTGTTTCAATATCCCTAGTCCAAAAATATCCATATCTAAATTCATTTTGAATTCCATCCAGCCTCATTTACATTTTCTGAGCGAAACAATCCATATCAAATCCATGTTGTATTCCGTCTACTGTCTTTTTAATCTTCCAAGTCAGCAGCATCTATATTAAATCTATATTGTAGTAAAATATGTTTATAATTGGTGGCGTGAATTAGAGATGTAATCATATAATGTGGGGTATAATAATATTTCTTGTACCTCGTTCAAAACAAATTTGACAGCTGCTAACTTCTCCAATGGAATCAGTATTGTGCTTAACAATGTTTAATAACCAAATAACAATACATAGCAACCTTTCTCAAAACAAATATCTTGTTTTGACGTTTAATGTGCGCTTTTACGCGCTTTTTTTCTTATGAAATGAGGTCAAATTGTGTTATTCTACACAATGTTATTTTACTCTTACATTGTACCTAAGAAAAAACACAAAAGAAGAATGCGTTATAGTTACATAACATGATCATTTGATAAAAGGTATGCTATAAAATGACATTATGCTTATTTCGTTGTCAAGTCCAGCTTAATTAGATGTATAATTCATCATGTTTACTATCATAGTGGTCATTGACCACACATTTAAAGGGTATTAAAGTTATATCAAATGAAATATTTTTTTTTACAATTTATAAATAGTGAACATTTGTTTTCCCCATATCCTTATCGTAAATTCTCAAAAGAGTTGTGACATAGAATGTCTCTTTTATGTATCACACATTTAAAATGTATGTGAAGAAAATAAAATGCCCAGGAACAAAATATTATGATGCTACTTAATAAAAGTTTTTAACTGTTCAGCTATGATTTTGTGCATGTGTGATATACTCAGTTCCTATGATGTCACGGGTTCTATGATATCCCGGTATTTACTGCGACTGCTAGTAAAAGCAATAATTGTTTACGCTACTATTTTCAAAACTGTCACACTAATCGCATAGCATCCATCATGTGAATATTGAATATATTCGTGGTAAGAAAACTATTTCATAAATTCTTCATATTTGACTACTTGTTCCCTTAATTGTTTTTACACAGTCAATTAAAATATGTAATAAGCCCACATACTGATATAGCATATGTTCATTAAAGCAAGTAAACTGTTGCATGTTTTTTACAATTAAATTTGAAGAATCTGACACACTTAACCTTCCATAATTTAGGATTACCATGATACCATAGTAACCTCCACTGAAATCGTCCGAAGTGGCAGATAATGGAAATAGTTTTGAAAATTACATTTTAATTTGGTGTTTTAAATATATTTTTGGAAAACAGTTTTGGGAAAAGTTCAGTTATTAAATAGAAGAAAAATCGCATTCATTTATAATTTTATTTCTTAGATATTTCCTATAAACGTTAAGTACCGTGATATAAAAGAGCCCATGTATACCAACATGTTTCTTGCATACATATATTTTGAAGTTGTTCTTTACAAAATCCAAACACAACTTAGGTGAACTGCAAGTAGCAAAGATATAGTTTTATACACTTCAAATATGAATAGAATAAAATATAAAAACTGCCTTAAATATTTTAAAGACTGCTCAACTATTTTATCAATTGAACTTTACAGATACTTCTGAAAGGTATTTAGAATAAATTTAGAATTTTCCATTTGTCACGTCAGAGACTTTTATAAAGCTACATGGTCAGTACGTTATTTATTTATTTTTTGTGCGAATTGGAATCAATTATAAATAAATAACACATGGGTTTGTGGGTAACAGTAAAAATATCATCCCGAGGAAAATACTGTTACCCGAGGCGTAGCCGAATATTCTTCGCATGGTTTCGGCTACGCCTCGGGTAACAGTATTTTTACGAGGAATGATATTTTTACTGTTACTCACAAACCCATGTGTTATTTATTATTTTTTACACCAAACAAAAAATGTGATGATCTGAAATTGTCAAATAAATCTAACTGTAACAAAAATAAACCAAGAGTAACAATAGCTAAACTGTCCTTATCTTTTAAGTGTACTTTAGGCCTACGTGAGAAGTTTTCTTTTTCTTTTATTCATTAAGCAAGTGATGATTATTATTTAAAAGTCATAAACATACAATAAGCTATGTTTTATTTAGAAAACAAAACACTAACCCATTTTATACGGTTATGATCTGTGAAATCTGATCCATCTGTTTCCAGAATATTCTTCGCATGGTTTTTGACAAAATAACAATGATATCCTATGTCTTTCCACCATGTCTGTAACGTTTCAATGATTGAAATTGTTAAATAATCTTTTGTTGCATGCTTAAATTGTCTGCATGTTCCAGTTGGACACATAATTATTTACATTGCAATTACTTCCGTTAAAAACAGATGTTTACTTTTTGACTATTCAACAAAAAGATATTATATACGCGAAAAGCGTTCCAAGGTGCAAACAACTAAATTTTATGGGTGTCATAGTTACTCCAGAGAAGAAATTGATGTCCTATCTTGGTGAAAGTCGAAAATAAGAATAAATCGAAAAAAATTGCGACCATTTTATTTCATTTTATTTAGAAAATAGACCACATGACCAGATTTTATACTGTTAAAAAGTACTGTTACCTATGTAAGAGTACACAATTCTTAGTCACGTGGTACACTTGCATTACTCCCAGATGCCTATGGGAAATTAACATTACGAAAAAAGTGAGGGGTAATAAGTCAAATTGGTAAGGTTTATTCTACCTTTACCTGTATACTTTCCGTTTTCAGTTAGATAGGTATTATGTCATTTTAAAGTAGCACTTATTATAATTATAATCTAGGTTATATAATTTAGATGATAATTATGGTCAAATTGTATTATTTACTCTTTACAGATACAATGGCAACCTCTATGAACTGGATGATTCGGTTGTTACCACGTATGCTTTAATTGCTCGTGGACTGTGTTACCTGAATAGCGCGCTCAATCCAATTATATACAATTTCATGAGCGGTAAGTAAGATGTTAGAAATAAATAAAAAAGGAAGAAAACTGTTTTTGTTCTGCTTTTTTGTGGATCTGTAAACCATTTATATACCATATTCCACATTCAATACTGAATGCTACATAACAAACGATTCTTGGCGATATGTTTAATGGAATGAAATTTTATGAAATCATGATTATTTTTATCTACATAAAGCAAAATGTCTGAAAGGTAGGAGTTTTGTTCGCCATGTTAATGTTTTAAGCTATTTAATTTTTATGTTTTCCAAACTTTCAGCAAAATTCCGCCAAGAGTTTCGAGCAGCATTCAGTAAATGCCATGCGCCATTCCAAGATCAAATAAAAACACCAGTGAATGTATATAACTTTCGTATTACACGTACACACGGACAAACCCGGTCAGAGAGATATTCTATGAATACATATACGACAAGGCAAAATTGGAACGTTAACAATACTGGAAGCTCAAAACGATCACAATTTTGAACTATTGAAATCAAATATTCCAATATTAAACAAAACATATTACTTTTTTTGTGTAGTACGACATTCATTATGTATTTAATTGTTGTAAACATATTTTGTGAATGGAAATGTTATACTCTATGAATGTTTTAAGATCAGTTGTATCAATATTAAGAAATAACAAATGTTACAATATTTAAGATTTTATTGGCCCTTGCTAGCATTACCAGAACGTAATACTGAATAAATAGATTAATGTTGAAAATGCGTTAGAAATTAAATATTGAAATATAAAGATCTTAATGTATTGCGATGTGTATGCATTTGACTTCCCTCGAAGGTTTCTTTTAAGATACTCTATTGTTTTCGTCAGTCGATTAGCGTATTAAACCTTTATTTAATTAAAGTTTAATAACAAACCAGTGAGTTCATAAACTTAACATTTTTATTGATAAACTAAACTTTCAATGTGATCAACCACATTATCAGAATTATTTATTTTAACTTTTACTTTGAATGAATGGGTGTAAATGTTTTACATTATTTTATAAGTATTTCTACACCTTTGTAAACAACAAGTGAGCATTCATGATCAATACTCGTGTTAAACTTCACGTTGTTGTTATGTTGTCATATGTTCTTAAAATATATATACATGTTTTAATAGACCTATTACCTCCAAATAAATATTAGCAAATGGACATTTTATTTCAATTATTGCAGCCGATGGTAGGCAATAACAGAAGAGTATAGAGCACATACAAAATTGCAAATCGTGCTTTCTCGTATTTATATGTGTAAAAATATCGTAGAAGGATAATATCTTATAAAGTAAGATAAATATATCAGAGTTTAGATATTTAATTTACATTTTTTAATATATGTTTATTTGTTTGACAATTTAATCACTTTTTATTGAAGTGCATGAAATGAAAATTCAAATGAAAATTCTGTATTTATATATTATTAATTTTTGTTAGAAAAATATAAAAAAAATCGTTTTTCCATCAAACTTGTAATTTAAAAGGTTTTGCTTTTCTTTTTTATGTGAACTATTTTCATTGAACACGACTTTGTAACTATTGTTTCATAGCGACCAATTCATTTTTTCTGTCGTAAATGTATAAATGAATTTTGTTGTGCTCACGTTTTATGTATAAGTTGTAAAGATTTTCGATGTTTATCTTGTTAAAAATATACTATGTATGTTTACATTAAACTGATGGAATAAGTACAAAAATAAAATCCAAGTTATAAGTAACATATAGAGTATCTGATGATGGATGAATCCTATTATTGTTTGAACTTGTTCTGGCTTATTATAATAAAAGGTCATGTTTATATAGCTTCTCTTGTTTCAGTCATTTATTAAACGTGCATCGGTTAATATACAGTAAGTGTTTTCCCAGAAGTCAATGACTCTTCATATGTTTGTTTACAAGAACAAATACATGTATCTTTTATGTCACAGGATTAAATATTATTGACTGAATTATAGAAAAGAACAGAAACCAACTCTGGGCAAAGGTTCAATCCAATTACAATGGTCTACAAAGATAATAAATTAATAATACATCATAATTCTATACAACTATTACAATGCATATAAAGCAAAATACAATCAAATTACAATAATAATTATACACACTCGACGCGGAATAAGGATGTGATTTCTCACCACAGCGTCTGTTGAAGTAAATACTATTTAAATGTTAATTGAAATAAGTTAACTTGGAAAGATCTAAATAAACAACAATGCAATAATATTCAAGTAGTGAACGTGATGACAATGTAGTGTGATCGGGACGTGCGTATTTAAAAGAACCAATGAATTTCGTTTTCACATACAAACATATAGAACAAACAAAACAAGTGCACAAATACAACACAGAACTAAGGACCAGTGTTCACGACTTTGCACAGATGAACTCGACAATGTACATCGGTATTTTCACCGATGCATTACCGGATGTTAAACTGACTCGGTAAAAACTATACACAATAAAAATGTGTAATTAAACAAAACTATGGAAAGCCACAGCCACATGTTATTTCGTTCAGTACCTTTATATAAAGAAGACTAACTCAACGGAAATTGCCAGAAATTATGATCATTTATTTTTGTTTCAAAGCAAGTATTTACAAAATTAAAAAGCAAAACTTGCAGTTTCATTATTCGTGCACATACATGAAAGCAATCAGTATGTAAATAAAACAGGTATGCGATATTGACAAATGATATAAGTTGCAATAATATTTTGTACAAATATAATCAAAGTTATACAGAACATCTTTCTAATTTTTATATGAAGATGGTTTTTGTAGTTCATAAACTATTACAAATCAGAACTGAGCCGGAATTGATGTTACTTTCTAAAAAGCATCTGGAATGTTGTCTTTTAAACGATAACGCATTTGATATCTTAAAGTAAAATACACGTATACACTACTTTAGTTGTTTAAAATATTTCGCTTAACGTTATTCTCTGTCTAAAGTAAAAGCGCACTTGAAACTAAGGGTTTATTATCGTACCGATGCGACAAAAAACCCATCTGGTTTATGTTCTTTTAAAATTTATGAATTCCAAGTGAATATATACTGTTTAATTTAAATTGATATACGAAAACGAAGGCAACAAGAACGTTTATCTTAGGTATGACATAATATTTTGTATTATTAAATGAGCATTTGCCTTAGACGTGTTTGTTCAATATTTACTTGTATGTTACATTTTGCTACATTTAGTCTTCTATCAGAAGTATAAGGTATCGGATCTTATCTTATTATAGCAATTTCTAGAACACGCCGGTCTTAAAGGATAGATTGTAATTAAATGTTCTTCATTTCCAAGATAATATCTGTGTCTAAAGCATTTATGATACAATTATTGTATCTGACATACAATCTGATTCTCTCATAATGAGGTTTTCCTGTTGAAATCATTTTGTAATCTATAAAGTCGCAATGAAAAAAATGACCGCCATTATATTCTGGAAAGATAGGTAATGAACTAGATATTAAAGCACATTTTGATAAATATATGACAAGCGACTACTGTTCATTCTGCTAACCTAAGCAATAAAACTACACTTTTGTTCGTTAAAAGTGCAATATTGTCAAAACTTGGATATTATATCAACGCCTCTTTTGTAATATAATTTTTCTCTAATTCGCCAAGATTAATGTGTTTTAATTCAATTTGATATATCTCGACCATATCCTGTGAAGACAAAGTCATTTTCGGTGAATCCTAATTTTTGAAATTTAAATTAAGATAATACAATTAATTTCTGTACTTTTGTCAAATTTATTCTAGACACGACATATTAGTACATGTAGTTAGTTTTGAATTTAATTCATTTACCACCCACTTTCATTTAGGAAAGATCCGGATATCTTATAAAAGTACTTAAGAACTTTTTAGTTCTCAATGTACATGTACTAAGAAAAGATAAAATACCTATCAACAGATGCCTGCCTCACACTTTAAAGGATGTAAGCAAATGGAGCTTAAAACGAAAATATAAGAAGGAAGACCGTCAAGATTGTGTTTAACGATATTGATAGAAAACAATACATTATCATATAGAAAATGAAAGACGTATTTCTTCGTTAATCATATCAGAGATTTTAGTTTAAAAACTGCATCAGAGATCGCGGCCGTGTTGATGAATTATGCTTAATATCTATAAACAACATGTCAAAACTTAGTCTTATTATAACCTAAAATATCGCCAAAATGTCATAAATTCAACTTGAAAATCCATGAACTTTTAATAAACTGAATATTTAAATTTTATTCCATTACAATAAAATAGATAAATAAAGAATCCCTAAAGAAAGCCCAACACGGCAAAATTGGAAATGTTGCAGGCTCGGTTTGATTGAGCCTGTTCATGGACGGTACTGGAAAGTGCAAATTACCGTCCACGCCCCCTAGCACCGGCTTAAGCAGAATTCAACATTTAAACATGAAATAGTAAAATTTTGAATTTAGAAACATCCGCAGATGTGTTCATACGGCGGTTATCATGGAACCTTCAATGTGACACTTCCGTGCCATTCCATGAAAAGCGGCGTATGGTCCCCAAGTAATAAAAAGCGTGTGCCCCAAACGAGAAAACAATGGGCGGAACTAAATAAAATGGAATTTTGAAAGGGGATCAGAGGTTATGAAGCCTGCGTATCACAGATAAGAAGTCAAAAGACAAATTTAAAAAGCAGGCAACATATCCTAAGGGTGATTCAACATTATTCAAGTAGGAATATTGAAACCACCCAACTAGAAAATGCCGAAAAGTTGAAACTAAAAGTACCACAAGCACAACAATAATGTCGTGCTGAACGATCTTCAAGGATCGAAAATATAACATCATTGATTAAATGTACGGGGAGACTTTTTACAGCCGCCACACGGCACAAATAACACGGATGTGATCATAGAATAGATAAATAAAGAATCCCTAAAGAAAGCCCAACACGGCAAAATTGGAAATGTTGCAGGCTCGGTTTGATTGAGCCTGTTCATGGACGGTACTGGAAAGTGCAAATTACCGTCCACGCCCTTATTGTTTCTTAAACAACTTTTATAATCTGTTTACAACCTCTTCATTGTACAATTACATATTATTTATGACTTAATTCTACATCTAGGTTATCATGTAAAACTATTGACTTCATAGCTTGAATAAGAATACAAAAATAATATTGATTGTTTTAAGTTCATTATTTATTAAATAACTGTTCAAATATCTTTGCTGATCATCAAGTAGAGATTTATTCTTTTATTATCAGAGTTCAAAGCGTAAAGCTAAAATATTACCTGTAGCTTATCTAAAATATGAATACACTGTTACTATAACCTGTGGTGCTCAGCAACACTCTTGGGAAACACATTTTTGGTTGTTCCTTAGAGGTGTTGATCTATAGATTTATTGATACTGTTCTATAATTATATTAAAAATCTTTACATTGGGAAGAAATAACATTGTTGTTGTAAAATGATAATTGCTCTACATAGGGCCGCTCTGTAGAAGTTATACTGTATAAAGATAAACAAGGGAAAGCGAATTTGTAACGGAACGCAGCATACAACAATGTCCAGTCACACAAGACCATCAATCAAACAAAAAAGTACAATACCATGTTGGAGGTAATAATTACACCTCTATACCTAACATCAGAGGGGAAGAATGCAAGAGGGTGGGGGTGTAAAAGAAAAGGGAAGACTATGTTGAAGCCTGAAGGTAACAAATTAACATTGAAGGGAAGATGGCGATGGCAGCGTAAAAAAAGAAAATGGGTACGAGAAAGCCTCTTCTTTTTTTGTTTTGATAGTTTAGTATATGGTACTTATATAAACAGTAATACAGTGTCCCCATCTTTTGCTCCGTCAGCACAAAACCGTTCTTGGTACAAACGTTCTATCTCAAGCAGTTTAAACATGTTAAGATGTATAGGTTTTGGCTTTGGATAATTATATATAAATTGGAGTTTATTTCAGTTTTAGATTAAACTTATACTAGAAAGGTATATTAATCTTTTTTGTGTGTTTTGTTTGTTGTTTGTTTCACAGATGTGGAGAAACATTCTTTTTCTTTAGCAACCCAAAATAGATTTCAAAATAATTACGTATTGATTGTTAATTCAAATACTCTGCATTTATTCTTTCTTTTTTTAATGGAATTGGTACTCTGCATTTATTCATTTATTCTTATTATTCAACGTAATTTAAACACGGACTTATGTTGACACTGAATGTAACTTGTTAGTCTGATTTATGTTGATGCCGATATCCCTGTCATTTACCATGCATTTCAAAGGATTCATTGTGGTTTCAAATCGGTTTAGGAATCATTATCAATGATATATATGACACTCTCAAGTTGGAGTCCAATCAACACCGTTAACTTATTTTGTATAAAGTTCGTTAGTATAAATCTATATACAATATGAAGAGAAAGGTGGAAAATAAGATTGAAATATGGTAAAAATGACAAACGGATTATATATTTCTCCCAACAGGTAAAAAAGAATAACTATGACTATCAATAACTACCGAGGTAAGTAATATAGTTTTTATACGGATTGAAGATTCTTTACCAATACAATCATTGCACAATAAACGTCAACAAAACGTCATAGGGAAGTTGGAGATAAGTATTAACCCGATTTGATTTCTTCTTATATTCATCATGATCATTCGTTCGCTTTACTGTTATTACTCTAAAAGTCTCTTTATTATCAGGTTTTAATTCCATTTAGTAGTATTTTAGACTTTGATAAATTTTCATTGCACTTAACTCCGTTTCCGAAATGACAGATAGCTTTTTATAACACAAA